ACTTCTTCATTCTCCCTATCTCTTCTTGTTTACATTTTACTGCATTGCTTTTATTTTATAACATAAACATATTTATATAATTGACAGTGTAAGAAGTTTTTACACTATCGATTAGTGCAATATTTTAACTTTTTATAACATATGACATGTTTTATCAATTAATTCTTTTTTTTTAAAATATAAAAACGGATACTTACAAGTATCTTTTAGATGACATAATAGTGAAAAAAATAACTTTATATTATCTAGGTATAGAAGTTAAAGTTAAAGTTAAACTCTAAATATTATAGTATTTGACAACTCTTTTGAGTCAATTAGAAGAATTAGGTTTCCATTAGGGGTGGGCGTTCTGGCAGTTTAGATTGAATTTAAAATTTTCGTTTTGGATCGGATTTTTTAAGTTCGATTTCGGATTAATCGGTTTGGATATTTTGGATTTTCGGGTTTGAACTTATAAGTTGAGATGTTTCTTCTTTTTACAAAAATGAATATCCAAATAAAATACTCATGTTAAATTGCTCGAAAGGTTCCTCATTACCACCACAATCATTCAAATAAAGTATTCAAGTAATGAAATTATTATCAAGAAAATGCAACAAAGACATTATTACGCTTGATAAGAAGTAGCAATAGTAAAACTATATCCAAATAGAAAATATTATGATAGTAACTTAGTAATTAATTAGTGAATATATGAGACAATATCTAATGAGTAGGGTATCGAACTTATTACTACTGACATATAGATAATGTACTAAATATAAAGTATAAAAATTTTGGACTTTCGGATATCCAAAAATCCAATATCCAATCCGAAATTCAAAATTTTAAAAAATTTAATCCGTAATCCAAAAATCTAAAAAATTCGGATTTCGGTTTGGATTTAGGGTTTGCCCAAACTATGCCCACCCCTGGTTTCCATAACACAATGCAAATTAAAGGGAAAACAAAAGGGAGGACCAGCCAAGTGGAAATGTGAAGTAATATATCAAATCTAGTGAAGTCTTGATGACAAACCCATTAAACTTTACCTGTGTGCTTCATACTCTATCACTAATGCAGTTTAAACAGAGTCAACTTGCTCTATTCACAAATAACCATGTCTCTGCATTTTCAAACACTTCTCTCTCTCTCTCGAACAGCACTTATTACACATAATAATTAAGTGCATGTGTTCCTCAAAACTCTCCCACTTCATTCAATGATCTTATTTCTTTATTCATATTTGACTTTCCAAGTTTTGAGCTGTTGATAAAACTCATTCATCCCATTTCTGACCTGTTCCTCCTAAAGAAAAAATTTCTCCACTCCCTTAGCTTCTTTTCTTTTTCTTCATCTCACACAAAACATATGTGAACTCCATTCAGATCTCATCATATTATACATATCTTCTTTTTGTAGTGTTAATGGATGCATCAGCACCAAGACATCTTTTTTCATTCAAAAACCAGCAGAATAACATTAGTATAACTCAACCTCCAATGGGTGCAGTTTCAAGCAGTGGCTTCCCAATAATTGGTGTTGCAATGTTAGGAATTATGGCCATTGGTTTTTTGCTAGTCAGCTACTATATCTTTGTCTCTAAATGCTGCATCAACTGGCAACAATTCGACCCTTTAAGACGCTTTTTTAGTACGCGGCCACGCCAATATGAAGACCCTTTAATGGGCTATTCCCCTTCAAGAGAAAGCAGAGGACTCGACGAATTGGTAATAAGAGATATTCCAACTTTTCAGTACAGCATAAATAGAGCTGGTGAAAGAAGTTTTAGGAGATGTGTGGTTTGTTTGAATGAGTTTAAAGAAGATGAAATGTTAAGACTTCTTCCTAAATGTAGCCATGCTTTTCACTTGGATTGTATTGATATTTGGCTTCAAAATAATGCTAGTTGTCCTCTTTGTAGAACTAGTATTTCAGGTGCAACAAATAAGCATCCACTTGATATGATTGTTGCACCAAATTCATCACCTCAAGATCCTCATATTCCACTTCTTAGAAGAAGTAGTATTTTAGGGAGTGAAGAAGATTTTGTAGTGATTGAATTAAGTGGTGAAGTTGAGGTACAAAATAGGAGTAACTCTATTAGTAGGGAATTGTTGCAGTCTCAATCAAGAAGTCACTCTTCTAGAAAATTTGAGCAGAGGATTGGAAAGTCAACAAAACAGCAAACAAGAAAGTTTTCAATTATGGGTGATGAATGCATAAATGTAAGAGAGAAAGATGCTCAGTTTTCAGTTGAGCCAATAAGGAGATCTTTCTCTATGGACTCTGCGGCGGACCGACATGTTTATTTATCAGTGCAAGAGATGATAAGGCATAATAGACACCTCAGAGAGGTTAGAAACAATGGAGAAAGTAGCAGTAGATCAATTCGTAAATCAATCTTTTCGTTTGGACATAGAAGATCCAAAACTTCAGTTTTACCCTTTGAATTATAAGTATGTTGAATCTGTTAGTTTGTTTATTCTTTTGCTGCAAAGTTGGCTCCCTGACACAAATATTAACATGGTTTTTTAATGTTCTTTTACCTTCAGCTTCAAATTTGGTCCATGGTTGTACAAGAATAGGAGAGAACTGTTCAGAAAATATCATTGCTAAGACATTATAGCTAGGTAGCAAAATAATTTTGTTTCTTGTAGTAATTAATTGTTCGTGAGTGAAAATGATTACTGTGTTCCATTAACTCTCGACTACTTGATCTCTTATCCTTTTATCTTGAGAGTCTGAGAAAACCAGAAAGAGAGACTAAAAGTAAGGGTCCAATCTATGGCAAGGGACCCATTACATCATCACAAAGTTTTTTTTGGCCATATTAATGGATGTTTTTCTGAAGTTAATAATATAATCACCACAGATATGATCGGTCAAACTTGAAGAGCACAGTTTTCTAGGCGCAAAATGTGAACATCAAAACTCTTGGAACTGGCAGAGGAAAGAGTTGGCATCTATAATTAAGGAGTTTAAAGGATAATCCGTTTAAAAAAAATACTACTATTGTTGCAATTTGTCAGTTATAGCATATTATTTCTCAATTCTTCATGTTACCATATCATACTTGATATGAAAAATTACATCATGTTATCGGTCAGCTTCACTTAACAGTATAAAATATTACTCATACAATCAGTACACAGAACATTAACACATGGTATTAAGCAGTCACCAACTAGTTGAAAGTTTAATTTGAAGGCAGTTAGCAAAGGCGGATTGGTGAAGAGGTAGATCTAGAATTTACATTTATCAGGTCTAATTTTAGTCTTTTACCATGAACTCACTAGACTTTTGAAATTATAAGTTTAAGATTATACTATCAAAATTTTAACGATTTTCACATATGTATATATCTATACTCCGTGCCAAAAACAAGACCGTCTGAAGTGGAATTTGAAGGTGCACCCAATAATTACTACACCATAAGAGCCTCTAAGCGTGGGTGCGCACACAAATATTTACGTAATTTTAAAGAAATATAACATTGTTATATACATGATTTAAAAAAGAACGTATGGATTCACGTGAATCCATACCTATTAAGCTAAATACGCCCCCGGCAGTTAGTGGCCTTTTTTCCAATGAATCCAAAATGGAACTGGAGAACTTTCGACATCTCTCCTTACCTAATGTAGAATTGTTAATTGTTTAGCTAAACAACTCTATGCAAAGATCAAACCGATGACAATTCTCAAGCGCAGGCTATACATTTTATAGAATATTTTCAGAAGGTGATAGTGGAGCCCCCAAAAAAAAGAGGATAGAAGTAGACCATTGCTTAGAAAGTCTTTTTATCAATGTGAATGCACTAATAAAGTATTAACAGAAAAAAGTCAAACCTCAAGATTCACAATCTACGAAAATAGAGTAAAGTAATTCAAACTCTCTTTCTCCCGTACAATTTTTATATTCAAGATTCTGCGTGTTCCAAATATTTATGTCACAAAATGCAGAGACAATAAACGAAAATGTAGCATGGTCAATTCCCACGTCCAATTCCCTATTTCCATGCCACGTGAGTTTCGTCAGCACCAACATCAGTTATTCCTATATTTCTGTAAACAACACAGCACATTCTAGAAGCATACGTATGCTATTTAGTTAGCAGTTGGCACCGGTAACAAGCAACAACTATCCTTCGATCCCAAACAAGTTAAACTCGTCAAAATGTGAATTAGACGAGGGAACGTAGCATATCACTCCGTGTCAATCTCAAACAAGTCAACTATATGCATACGTATTATTCACGTCGTTCCATTTAAACTCGTCTAAGTCCAATATTAGCAACGAGCAAAAGAACCAAGCTGGAAGCCTAAATAACCAGAGATGACACTTAAACTCATCCAGTAACTTGGCATTCTTTTAACATCATGACTCAAACATATCGCCTAGATACACGTGGGAATGAAAATGGTTCAGCAGCATTCTTAGCTAGTATGTGATTTCCAGCATCTGGTAAATAAGACAGAGGTCTGAATGTTAAAAGAAGACTTATTATGGTAGATGAAAGTTGCAGACTGATGGATCTTGTAGCTTTAATATCTTTAATGAAGCTTATAAGAATAGGTTACAGTGAAAAGGAAACAATCAAACTAACAAATGGTAATTATTCCTTCAAAGGAAAAGAACATGTTAATAAACTTATGTAGAAACTTATGTTGCACTTCTTTGCCTCTCAATGACTGGAATACCAACTTGTGAGTTACTACTAAAGCCAGCTTCACTAGAATTAGCCAAAGGCAATGCCTTCATCACAGACCCATCGGATATACCAGAAGCTTTCTTCTTCAGTTGTTCGAGAAGTCGATGAGCTTCCTTAAGTTCATCTACTGCACTTGGACCATGGCCTTCCCAAGCCTCTATTGCTTTCTCCTGGAAGTTTATTGCAAGGTGATAGCTGAAAAATCCCCAAGTAAGAGGTTAGATACTTTTTCGCCCAACTAAGAGCAGAGGCGGATCCAGGATTTAAATCCTATGGGTTCAATTTTAAGGTTTTTAGTATTGAACCCNCATCTAAAAGGTTAGACATCTTTTCACACTCAATCAAGAACACATCACAAAAGCTAGAACAAACCAGTCAACAATATATATATGCTCACCACATACACACACACACAAAAAATAAAAAATAAAAAGTGAACAAGTACCCCACTCGATCGTACTTTTCTAAAGATAACGAACTTCTTTCAATTTCAAACCTCTTCAGGAGCTTAAAGTTATAATTGAAGAAACTCACTTGCAACGGTCAATTTAGCTCAGTTCTCGGCAAATTTGATTTCCAAACCTAAGGTTTTAGGAGAACATATACAGGTCCAGGTAATTATGTCGTTGAATTTGGAGGCATATGCTACAACTACTGAACCCCGGGAAGCATAATTGGCCCTGACAGCCCTGAAGTTGTGTGAGCAAATCACTGCATCCACTTCTTCAAGATTCTTAAATTGCACTTCCGCAGACCTTCTCGAGATTTAATCTATTTGCTTCTGAGGATTTTATTTTACAAAGATGACTAAAGGTCAGTGGAAACATTATAAAGACAATATTTTTGTCCTCAAATTTAGAAGTGTACGGAGAAGTGAGAACACGCTTGTAGCATATAAGTTTCCACCTAAGGGTCTAAAACAGATGCAGTAACAGAAAGCATGGAGAAGTATGACAACTAACAAATATATGAATGTAGCCGGTCCGAATTGATCATAAAACCATATTACAAAGAAAGTCAATATCAGTATCTGCCTATCAACATGTCATCCAAGGTTATGAAGTATTTTTCTGGACGCACAGAAAGGCTCCTTAAAGCCCTTATCTAACTCAAGAAAATCCGAAAACAGTAATAACCAGATGATTTAATTTCTGGCATAGTGGTAATTGAACAGCTTCAATCCTTGTACAAACTAATAATCTAATGTATTGTGCTGCTGCTACTGAAAAAGCAAAGGAATGAAGAAAGATGCTTTTACATGCCGAACATATTCTTAAGCTGGAGAATGCCCCAAGCCTAGGCTCAACATTAGATTCACCTGCATGGAAAGCAGGTTAGAGTAGCTCATTTTCGGAAAGTCTTGCTATAACTTGCTGGTTATGGCAGAGGAAGCAACTGGCCCTAAAAGGTTATGGAAGAACAAGAAATCCCTAAAAGTAATGTGCTCCACATGGATAGTAATGCACAAAACCTGCCCCACCCAGAAAAATCTATGGAGGGATACATATTTGTTGCAGATGCTACCTGTGTAATAATGCAGAAGAAGACTCGGCACACCTATTTCTTCACTGTCTCTATGCCCATATATGGAGAAAGTTTAGAAGGCTGTTGGGAGTAAGAAGGATGATACCAGCAAAGAGAGAACTGCACCACAACTGAAGACAATATGGAATAGCATACCCCTGTGCATTATATGGACAATAACGAAGGAAAGAAGTTCCAGATTTTTGAAAGCATTAATGTAATTCATTGCATAATATTTACTTCACAAAAATACCCCTGTGCATTATCTTTAATGAAATATTTTTCCCTTCTCAAAAATATTTACTTGTGTAAAGTCGTCTTCTTTTTGGTGTAAGATGAAAGATGTACATGATTTTGACACTCCTTTTAACTCTATTGACACCACTTTTGACTGTCTAGACTCCTTGTATCTTGAATAGGAGACTAATTCATACATCTTGTATTTCCAGCACTCTCTTGGCGCTGTTTTGTGAATAACCTTTAGTCATCAGAAGGGGAAAAAGATGTTCTCTAAATCTCACAAGAGAAAAAACATTTCCTCGGCCTCAAATATTATTGGTTAGTTCTATATCCTTGACCTAATCTACTAATTATAGATTCTTCACCACTAAGCTTGTATTTTGATACCAGTGGTGTCCGACCCAACTTGCATACCTCGACTATCCCATCGGGTACAACATACAGATATTTGTTACCTCTATCCACCAAGATTTAGGAAAATGGGAAGAATCACCTAATGTTTTAGTTTTTTTTTATCTCTGCTGGATTTGAACCCTTGTCTCCATTGATGTTCATTTCAACTTCTTCGACCGCTACGCTATACACTTGATTGCAAAGCAACGAATGTCAAGCTATCTACTTAGCTAGATAAACTTTATCAATTGTTAGATCTACTATGGTTCATATGTGTGAATCAAGCTCAAACAACTAATAGTTGCAATTAAAGCTTCACAAGATATTTCAATTGTGTCAAGTCACCTTCCGAGATGGATAAGTACAGGTTTTGGTGTTGTTTCCATCTACTATCCTCCTTTACATATCTCCATCTTTTTAAAAAATAGGAATTCATACCAACCATGAATGATTACAGATGATTGATCAAATCTATTGGTAGTAAGCTGTCTCAACATGATCAAACTGAGGAGATACTCTATCACAGTCACATAGTAGCAGCAGACCAATAATCTCTATGAAGAAAAGAGAGACTCTAAGTTGGTATCGATATACTTCCAATGTGGCAGAACAGTCATGAGGCAGTGTATGCCGCTAGGACACAGTACATTATAGCGCTGGAAAGACTAGTTTTTGACAACTTGTATGAGAGCACAGAGGACAAATAGAGCATGCAGAAGCTTGGCCTACGAAACAACATGTCAGATAAACAAGGTATACTGAAGGCTACTAAGAGGAGCCCATATTCCCTTGACCTATTAATAAGATGTATAAGAGGAATACATAAAAAAGACAGCACCATATAAGATGCATATCGACAAATTCAAGAGGCAACATGAAATAAGAAAAGGCAGAAAGGTAATCTCACAAATCAACTTAAAGATTTTAACTTCTTGTTTCAATAAATGTTGCATGGACTCATTTAAACGTACACGATACAGGGATGTGCAAGTATTGGATACGAGTACGTGCAGTTTTTGCTAATTTTTATTATATTTGGCATGGCGTACCTGTACCTACCTCACAGGCCCATTTAATTGGTACATGAGCACAAATGAAGGATTCATATAACATAGATTTCAATTGCTCAGATGGTGTACTTGGTATTTAGTAAAGGTAATGGCATTCAAAGAGAAAAACGCACACTAACAAATGCCGATATAACTTAAAGAAGATATTGATTTTCTTACCTCCCCATGGCAGCATATGCTTTTGAAAGGTTTTGGCATGCTTCAATTGAATCGGTGTGATGAGGACCAAGAGAAACATCCATGATATCCTTGGCATACGCAAAAACCTGTGCAGCAGATTGTGGTCTATCCAATTCCAAATATGCTGCACCCAAATTATTGTAAACATAACCAACTGCATAATGTTTTGATCCAAAGCTTTCTTTCAGCCTCTCAGCTGCATCCTCCAAGAAAGGAATAGCATTCTGCACCCCACCAGTTAAGAGCAGTAACCAACCAACTCGCGCTGAAACACTTCCAACTGAATGTTGTTCCTGAGGCAGCTTTTCAAGCATTGAGAGTGTTCTCTTTAATAGTGATATAGCAGCTTCAAACTTATCCATTGTCTCATACAGCATAGAAATTTCCATGTATGCCTCAGCAACTTCAACAGGGGAAACTTTTTCTTTCTTTCCAAGGATTCCACATGCAATTTCAAGGCACTTCTCCGTATCCATGTACTTTTCCTGGTTGCATAATGCTTTTGCCATTGAGATAAAGACCATAGCTCTATCCTCGCTCTCTTTTCCAGTCTGCTGAACAACAGCCTTCAAAGTATTAATGGCCTCATCATATCTCCCTAAGGCTATCTGCATATTGGCTGCATCGATCTCAGCACGAAGCAAATCAGTATCAAGACCCCAGTTTTTCAGAACTCTTTGTGATAATTGATTTTGTTCCAATGCCTTCTCATGTTCTTCTAATCCAGTATAAATAACTCCTAGGAGCCTCCTATCATGTGCAACCTCTACAGAATTAAGCCCAAGTTGTGCCTTGTGTATCTCCAAAGCCTTCAAACAAAATGGTAAAGCCTCCTTAAAATGCAAAATCGCGACATATGCCTCGGCTACATCCCTATTTGCATTTCCAAGTTCTTTACTATCACTTTCCAGAGTCATCTCTTTCAGCTCCAAGGACTTCCTAAGATTAGCAAGGGCCTCCTCTCTCCTCCCCATAGCCGTTTTCGTATTACACAATTCAAGCTGAACAGCATGAAGAATAGGCCTAATATCCTCAGCACTACAAGAACCATCCTTTTCTAATTGACCCAATACCCTATTAGCCCTATTAAGATATCCTAAACTGTCATTAAATCTTTTCAAACTATAACAAGCAGAACCCAACAATTGCAAAGTCATGGCAAGAGGCAAAGACAATTTATCATTACTATCCAAGATTTTCAAAGCTCTATTAGCAAAAGATAGAGCCTTTTCAGGATCCTCACCTTCTTGGTCAAGTTTGAGACCTATTCTCAAACATGGCAAATTAAGTTCCCTCTCATCAAAGCTTGTCTCCATTTCTTGAAAGACCTGAAGCATTTCTTGAATGGTCTTTGCTGACTCAAAAGCCTCTTCAAGTTGTGATCTTTCTCTCATCTTTCTCTGTCTTGAGGATAATTGAGGTGGGTTTTGGTCCACAAGTGTGGTGAAAGTTTGAGTTTTGACATTGGAGAAGAGTAAAGCTTGAGTATTTTTGCAAGATTTGAGATGGGTATTTGATGGTTGAGGGGATAAGGGTTCATTTGTATTGATGCTGGTGCTGGGGAGGGAAGAGAGGTGGGAGATGAAGTCTTTGGAAATGAGAGCGAAAGAAGTTCTGGCGTACTCCTGGAGATGTGGAGCAGCTAAAGATGAAACTCTTCTCATGGTGGTGTTCAGGGAAAGAACCTAGTATGGTGCTGGAGTATTTGCTTCTGTTAAACCCTGTAAAACCCTCGGTTGAAGGTTGTTTGTTTCTTCCGTCATCGCTTCATGATTTATAAAGGAGATGCTTTTTCTTTACTTTTTCCCCATATATTGTACGTTAAATCGTATAAATATTATATATTCCACAGTTATTTTTAAGACTATTTAACTTTTTTTTTCTTCTTTGGATGAGAGTTGACAGAAAAAAGAATTAGTATTAGGATAAACTCGAGAAAATAAAAAATATGGTTTGAATCTAACCCTTTTCAAGAATTTTCACGGGGTGGTCTTTTTAAGCCCTGATGTTTAATTTTCATCCCATTAAAAACAATTATGCAAAAATATTTTGGCGCTATACATCCGCCATAACTTTTCATTCTTGTTTTTTCTCCTTCTCTGATTTTTTTTCTTCTTCTTTTTCATCCTTCCTCTTTTTCTTCTTGCAATAAATTATGAGCATACAGTTAATTTTTAATTAGAAATGTATTGTAAAATATTAAAAATCAATTGCTTTTTATTTGTGATCAGATTTGAGTGAGAAATGTTCCACTAAGTTTATATTGTTTATTCCTAATAATATGGATTGGATCAGCTTGGTTGAATAAATTTCAAAAACATTATTGTTTGATTTTGTAGACCTTATTGTTGAAGAAGACAAAGTAAGCCTATCGACTTTTGAAGGTTTAGGATGAATTTAACCATCGAGAATTGTTGGGATTTGTATTAGAAGGTTGGATATTAAATTGGGAGTCATTTAGAGTTGATTTGGATCAATTTTGAAGCAAAATCATATTTATAAATTTTTCTATTCGCCAGAAATTTGTGAATAATTTGTTCTAAACCTACGACAAATTTGTTAAACACTTGGTGATTTGCTAAGAGTTGCGGCAAGCTCATCCATCAGAACTCCTTTATAATCCATCATGACATCTTGTACATGATCCACTAGGAAATAAACTCTAACTTATGGTGCGGAGGCTATTTTCATGAAATTGATTTAAATAAGGCCAAAAGTTAAAAAGCGACTTCAAATGATTTTATTTGTGTATGTCTCCCAATCCTTTGTGCAAATAAGGATTAGCCTATCTTCTAGCGTGAAAGAAAATATTTAAAAAAAGCTACTTTTATAATTATATTATTTAAAAATAAGCACAGTTTCAAAATAAACTAAAATTTAGCCATTTTGTAATAAGTTGGATGGACTGTCCCTAAACTAAATATGAAAAAACTACTTTTTCGGCAGAATACATAAAATGGCTCATGAACTTGTACCCAAATCCTTGTAATACATATGTTGATCATGAAAATATTTTTAAACACTCAATCTTCCAAAAGTATAGCTATTACACACCTCTTTGATACTTTACAACATCTTTTAAATAGGTGTATATCACGCACCAATGTCATCGTGACATGTGTCATTAAGTTAAAAAATAAAAAGGCCTCCAGCAAAGTTTTAAAAAATAAAAAGGAAAGTAACCCTAGCCAAAAGAAAAAAAAAAAAAAAAGGAACCCCTTTTCTTCCCAAAACTAACCACCATGGTTACCACCACCTTCATCTTAATTTCAGCTACCAAAATTTTTAACATCAAGCGCAGACTTCTTCAAGTCTAAGATCCAACACATAAATTCAAAACACTTTTCTTTGGCATTCTTCAACAAGTTTCGATCCAACTTCTCAATTCATCTCCGAATGAGATCCAACTTCAAATGAATCTTTCAATCAACGACTAGCTCAATCTCCAAACATAAATTTTAATAAAAACATATACAATTTTAGTATTATTCTCTTGATTTTTCGGGCCAATAATCGCACATTTTTTAATCGAAAATTTTTGGGTCTAGTTGAAATTGCACTTTTCGACCAACAATTTTACACCAATCTCTTAATAATCCGAAAATGCTTATTTTCTAGTTGAAACAATAGAATAAAAGTTCAGAAAAGTAACCAAAAAAACTACAAAGAGGTTCTGTGATCATTCATGGAGGAAGTAAAATGAAGGAGATGAATATAAAAAAAAAAAAGTTGGACATGTGACATTTTTATGAGGCTTCAGATACAAAACCTTTTAGTTCACTCACTTTATTTGCGTGTTGTGAGCTTGATGGATCTGAGCTTATTCTGCAGATTCAATCAAGCGATTTGCAAAAGGGATCACAATTCAGAGAGACGGGCTAAGAGAGAGATATAAGCGTTGGAATGAAAATTAGAATCTGCTTATGCAAAGTGTAATTACAAGTATATATAGTGTGATCTAAGCTAACTTAATTAATCTCCACTACTCAGTAACTATAACTACCAACTAAACATGGTTCTAACAACTTAACCACAGTCAGCTATCATTCTACTAACCACCTAATTGTATTAACCAACTAACGGATTATTCATCACACTCCCCCACTATCACGGCCCCAAATCCCCTCCGTAGGATGTCGTGACGGCACCTAGTCTCTAAGACTAGAAAAGCCCAACAATATGCGAAAATATCAAATAAAAACTTAAAATTTCAAACTTCAACAATTTCACCAATAGACTATGAGCTCAATACGTACAATTTTTCCCAAAACCCGATGAGATATACGTCACAAGCCCTAGATACAATGCTGAACAATCCTATACATCATCATCTATCAAAACATAAAGAAATAAGGAAAACAGGGTAGAAGGGGACTCCGAGACCTGCAGACGCGGGGAGGTGTACCTTGAAGTCTCCAAGCAGCAACACAACGCACTAATACCGAGGCTGATAGGATGTACCTGGATCTGTACAAAATATGTGCAGAAGAGTAGTATGAGTACACCACAACGGTACCCAGTAAGTGCCAAGCCTAACCTCGACAGAGTAATAACGAGGTCGGGTCAAGACCATACCGAATATAATAAGAAACAAGACAGAGATAATATGATATAATGAAAACGATAGGGAAGTGAACAATAAAGAATTTACGGGAAATAACAACACGGAATCAAGAAAAACTAATACAACACAAAAGGCAAATAAGAATTTTACATGTTAAGAAAAACAAGAACCAAACAATACAGCAAATAAAGAATATCAATACAGGCACTCCTGAGGTACCGCCTCGTAGTCCCAAATCGTAAAAATAAATCACAGTCTTTCCTTATATCACCGCAGGAGCTTTTATGTTTGGTTTTTGAAAATTATTTTTCCGAAATAGCATCCTGCGTTTTACCCCGCCTTATCACACTGCATGGCTTCTAGTAGTTCTCCTACTAGCCACGCGTATCAAGTTTACCTTATCTCACCGTATGCGTTGCAACACCCAAACCTTATACCATCGTATGCATATCAATAATCACAACGGCACGGCAGAAACCTCGTGCAAACAATAACAACAACACTTCAACAATAACACGAAATCCAAAACACAACAAATAAATAAATGATATTTCAAGGATAGAAATTTCAAGTAAAGAATTTTCTCGGTTAAGTAATGAATACGGAAATCAAAAAAAGTAAGTAATTCAACTAAACATGTGGTGCAAGTTGCAAATAGAAGATAAAACAAGTAGACATGTGAAATTAGACTAAACATGATGACTATGACATGCTAAAGTAACTCAATTAAAGTATGAAAAAGGAAACTACGTAGCAAAAATCGGAATTTCAACATTTAGCCCGTGTACGTACTCGTCACCTTGCGTACACGGCCTTTACATATCACAAATTATTACCAAAATACCAAATCCTAAGGGGAATCCCCTCCCCCCCTCCCCCCCACAAGATTAGACAAGTCACTTACCTTAAATTACACTCAATCAATCAATTAGAAGGCCTTTCCATCGATTTTCCAACTCCAAACGGCTCGAATCTAGCCAAAACAATTCCATACTATAAATATAACTATAAGAAACTAATTTAAATAATGATCTTAGCTAAAAATTGAAAAACTACTCCAAAAAGTCTTGGAACCCTACCAAAATCATAAAATCCGAACACCCATTCGATATCAAGTCCAACCATATAAGAATTATCCAAATCCGACCTCATTTAGACGTTCAAAACCTAAAAATTTGGTTTAAGAACTTCTACACTATTTTCCCAATTTTAAACTCCAAAACCATAATTAAAAGGTGTAATTAACAGTAGATTCATGGGAATTAATCAAAAACGAGTCAAAAATCCTTACCCAAATACTTCCTCTGAAAATCTCTCAAACTCTCGCCTCAATCCAAGCTCTGAAAGTCCCAAAAATGAAAACGAAGCAAACCCTCGAAAAATCCTCTTTTCTGCCCAGTTATGTCGCACCTGCGACCTTACTGCCGCACATGCGAAATTTCCATTGCAGGTGCGGTTATGACTAAGCCCAGCACACTTCGCATCTGCGAGGGCAGGTCGCACCTGCGCATGCACGCCTGCGGTGACTAAGTCGCACCTGCGCTTCTGGCCGCACCTGCATTCTACTCCATCGCAGAAGCGACACCACTTCTGCGGAACAATTGCCGCACCTACGAGCCATGCCTCTACTGCCACCTCCGCTTTTGCGTTCCACTGCTCGCACATGTGAGTCCGCACCTGCGGCCAATCCCTCTGTGACACCAGAACTGGGAGCTTCAATATTTGCACAAGCTCAAACTGATCTGATATCGATCTGAATCACCCCCGAGGCCCCCGGGACCTCAACCAAATATACCAACAAGTCCTAAAACATGATATTAACTTAGTGGAGGCCTCAAATCACCTCAAACAATATCAAAAACATGAATCGCACCTCAATTCAAGCCTAATGAACTTATAGACTTTGAACTTCTACATTCGATGTTGAACCTTACCAAATCAAGTCCGATTGACCTAAGATTTTGCACACAAGTCGTAATCGACATTACGGACCTTTTTCGATTTTTGGAATCGAAATCCAACCCCGATATCACAAAGTCCACTCCCTGTCAAACTTTCCAAAATCTTTCAACTTTCCAACTTTCGCCAGTTAATGCCAAAATGACCTACGGACCTCTAAATCAACATCCGAACACGCTTCTAAGAACAAAATCACCCTACAGAGCTATTGAAACTGTCAAAACTCCATTCCGGAGTCGTCTTTACATAAGTCAAACTACGA